TAAAACAATCGAAAAGAAAGACATCGAATCAAATAAAAAAGACATGATTCGAATGCAAAGTCAGCTGAAGCTTCTGCAAGATAATTTGATGGAGGAGAAAGCGCGATGTATGACATTACAAGCTGAAATGACGAAGTTTCAGCAGATTGCGCAAGAAGCTAAATAGGAAGTCGAATATCAAAAGAAGGTAGGAAAACAAAAATATATACGCATGTGTATATACTTATTTATTGATACATTTTTTACATTTACATTTGCAATCACAATCACAAATTATAATCATTTACAATCACAATCATATTTATAGCATTTACACAATCACACAACCATAAGTGCATCCATGTAATCTAATATATGATACCATCGGGAAACAAGGATCATAAAAAACAGCAACAGAAGATTTTGTTAATTTCATTAAGGTAGGAAATGATTGGTTATTTTAGTTTCTGGACTTACATGTCTCTCTTCGATACCAGCGAAGAAGTACTCAAAGAATTGTCGCTCTGATCTTTGTCGTCGTGTTGAGCATTGAACGTCTAGAACATTGAACTAATCGGTTGTAATAAACAAATACTCAGTCGAGAGCTTCTCCCCTCTCATTTCTAGTTTCCCCTTCCTACCAAATGAATTTTTCCGAAAATAACTCATTTCCGAAGCATCCGAAACATTTAAAAGATATGCCATCATGACCCTCTCTTTTATCCTTCAAAACCTCTACTTTGAAATTACAATAAGGAGCACCAATAAATAACCAAGAAACTTGCTTCCGTGAATTTGACATTTAGCCGAGAACTATCAACAGTGTGCTACAATATCTTTACTGAGAAGATACCTGAAAAGAGCATATCTGAATATTATTTTCCGTCATTAAGTGAAACGAAAAATCACTATCCCATCCACTATTGTCCTCCATGAAACAAAAAAAAAAAATAGAAAACCAAAGAACCGGCTTCGTCCCATTATTCCACACCAATCTCTCATTATAGATCGAGATATATACTTTCTTTTGATATTCAACTTCCTGTTTAGCTTCTTGCGCAATCTGTTGAAAATTCGTCATTTCAGCTTGTAATGTCATACATCGCGCTTTCTCCTCCATCAAATTATCTTGAAAAAAAAAAAAAAAACAGGCAAAACTCAGCCAGCTTGTAATAGAGAAATACGTTAAGTAATCTGCGTGAACAGGAGAAAGCTGATGTTGGAGTGAGAGGAGATTGATGAAGTTGAAATAGCGATGGCTGCATACAGAATATCTTTTCTTTGCCGGTAAGGGTAGAAGTGTTGCTATTACTGCGCATCTGAAATACAAATAAAGATTGGTCGGGGAAAAATAAGGTAGTATTTAAGACAATTTCTTTGAAACAATTTTTAAAAAGAGTGATTCACCTACCAGCAATATAATAGCATTCCGCTTCATCGTTTCTACCCATCAATTCGAGCCTTCTCCACTTTGCAGCGTTTTACCTCATTACGGCTTTCGTGGCCTTGGGAAACATTTCGAAGAATGAAGTTCCATTGCACCTGGGATTTCTTCATCGGAGTGGATATGCGGCATGTTGACGAAATGACCGCATTTTTGGCAAAAGCTTGAAAAGCTATATTATATTAGATGTTTCGGGTAAACTTGCCTTTCAAAAAAAGAAAATTTCATCATAAAACTGCACTTTATCTAAGCAACAGCATTACTTTCCAAAGTTAAACTCACCGTTCTGCCGATGCAGTTTGGCGGCATGAATATCGCCATCCCTTTAGGGTCCCAAATTCTTTAGGACACATGTCACATTCTGAAAAAACAACATTTACGTTTCCAAATTCATGCAAATCATCTACATAGAATTTCATTATAGTAATGCGGAAAGTTTGAACTTACCAATTATTATAGATCCGTTAGTATTTCTAATTACTGTGTACGGGTCAATCGGTGGTACAACCAGCAGCTGTTGGTATTGTGCCAGTAAACCTTCCACCACCGACACATGGAAGGCTTCCGGAACTGCTGGTATTGTCTCGTGACCTTTTTCCGTTACTATTGGGACTCATATGGTCCGAGAACGCCTGAAAGACATTTTTAACATTTATAACTAGAGTAATATCATTCTCTCAACGCTTTCCAACTACTCGTTATGAGCTTAATTTTTCATCCTACATGCTCATTTACCATTCAAAAACAGAATAAAAAAAAAAAAAACTTCCAACAATCTGATCGTATTGTGGGATAATCAAAAATGAATCGAAATATATGAATTTTGATGAGAAATGATAAATCATTAGTATTATTTGAAGCCATAAACTTGTCAAATTTATTCGTGCACTTTTCCTTCCCTGCATAATAAGAAATGAAACCTACAGTACGATTTCGTTTCCACTTCCATGCGTTCTTGGGATACTCGCGGACGCCCTCGGTATCACATCGGTACTTTCCTCATTGTGCTCATGTGACATTTGTCGCCACTCCGCCAACTCTCTCCCCTCTTCTTCATCGTGAACCAGTGCCGGTACTGGTTCTACCAATTCCTAGGTCTTCATGTTCTTCTTCTTCGAGGGAGTGGTGCACGGGCCACTCTTCAATCTCACGTGGCGCTTCATTTCACACTCGTGCTCTAGGAGCTCACGTAATAATTCCAACTGCTCCCGAGTTGGCGGAGGACTTGGGCGGCGAAACAAGTCCGCCACTAGGACCTCAATCCATTCATCTCCATGAGCCTGATGCTCACTTCTCTGCAATCTCGCTGTTACACTGCTAATCTGAAAACGAGTAACGGTTAGAGAACTAATGAAAACAGTTTAAATTTTTTTAGTCTTTATATTGAATATGCACTTTAACAGCATCATTGCACATCATAGACAAAGAGAATGTTTTCTCTTGTCTTGGTCTTTTTACACTCTTCTTGCATCAGTGCTGGTGACAATAATAGTAGCAGCAAAAGTCAGCAATTAATTAGACAATGGAAATTATGCATACCAAGAATAAATTTCAGGTTTAAAATAAACAGATGTGTCGGATTTCGTAAATGTTCTTCCAAAACGTGGAAGTAAAGCGGCTTCTCCTCATGCAGGAAATTTCTCAAATCTGCCAAATTTGGCAGACTTGGGCCAATTGGGCAAACATTTGCGACTTCCAATTGGATTTGCTAAAAAAATAGGGATTTTCAATTGTGCAACAATTTGTACTTTGCAAAAATTCAAAAGATTGCTAAATGTTAAAATTCTATACGTATAAAACAACTAAAGCACAATAAAACACTGATAGTATCACTGTTATAGTTCAACCGCTTTAGTAAGTCAGAGCAAACCACCCGATACTAAAAAAACTCCTCTAAAATCTTCAACAACTTTCTCCATTACCATTATTACGTGCAGCTAGCTGTCTCAGTGAAAGGATAATATGTCCAAAACTGATATTCTATTTTGCTCAAAAACGTTTCCCCTAATCCTTTATATGTATGTAAAACAAATAAGGTGCACCTTTTTCTTTTATCCAACCGTCTGAGGGTAGAATAATACGTGCATCTCTATTCTGTTTTGCTCTCTGATAGTCCATTTGATCCCACTGTATTAAGAAAAGAGAAAAAGTGCGATTAATGCAACATATAATTATATTTTGTATGAGTAATGGTTTTATGGTTATTACATAAAATTTTGAATTAACCAATTCATAAACACAATTAGGATGAGCAACAACAATCTTTCACTTATTGCTCATCTTATTTGTGTTTATAAATTGATTGATTAAAAATTTGTTCAAATTTTTTAACAAATTTGACAGTGTGAAGAATTCAAAATTCCCGTTTATTAGTGATTATCGATCGTACTTAAATGATTCTCGATCACTGCCCATTCTATGAAATGTGTGAAAGAAAAACAACTGACAAGATAGGATTTCTTTAGTTTGATGTCGGATCATTCCAGCCATTCTTAATATGAAAACCGAATCCTGTCCAGAGACTTATCTTTCTTCAATCTGGAAATGAATATTGAAAATTTATTACCGAATCTATGCAATACGGTGCTTCTTTTGTTGAATGGATGAATTGGTGTAACTGGTTTTAACAAACATTGGATTATGTATATGTATCAGAATTTAAACAGGTTGGAATTTTGATACCAATAATT